TACAGGTCTTGACGTATCCGCCTCGTTTCCTGTGTCGGCCACGGATTGGAGTAGCATTCCATGTAATGGAGGGTAAATCTTCTATTGGAGGACGCATCACATGCCTCAGTTAACGTAATGATGATGGAACGAGCGCAGACAATGGCGTTGGATATATGATCGAAATACAGTGCCCGCGAGATGAGTCAAAAACGTTGCTCCTTGAACGATTCTAGTTTCCTCAAGTCTTTTACTCTTACAGACCAGTCCTCATATCCATAGAGGAGGATATAACAAATGGCAGCCAAGAAAATCAGTACTTACGTTCCAGACTGAAATCTTATCATTTCCATATAGGATTGCATAGCTGGAGGAAAGTCCCCTTGCTGTTACTGTGTCAGCCGTAATTTACCTTACCGCTGTTCATCGGGAAAGACAGAGGAACCCAAGGTTTTTGAAGACGTTGATTTCGTCGATGGGGAAGCACGTAGGAGGATGGGATTTTCTTTGTTGCGGAATTTCTTGGGAGAATATGTTCATTTTTTCGTGTTTATGACTTATCCCCTGCTTCCACCCTGGTACTTGATTCGCACAGCGGCACATCCGACTTCGTTACAGTTTGAAGGCACTATGACGACGACGTCGGCACAGTCAAGATCGGTGTTGCAGTGACCGAGACTGGCTTCGACTCCGGCGGCCATTCAATCAATATAAACTAATATTGAAACGGTACAAAGAAGACTAACATGACCTGATCAAGGAAAACACGCAAATTCGTGAAGCGTTCCATCTTTTGGGGCGTGGTGGCGCGATGGCAAAGATGTTGGCTTTGAATTACAGGGGCTGGGTTCGACTCCATTGGAGGAACAATCTTTTTCTTATCCGCTAATTCCCTTCCATAAACAATTAACTGCACTCTGTTTCGGTTCATCCAGCTGAGAAATGGATAGGAAGTGGACTTGCGAAAAACGGAGACAGTGAAATACTTTGGTCTGCTGAATCCAGAATGATAGAGATTTATGGCTAGGCCATACTGTCCGATGCAAGCACCTCCTGTGGCTGCATTTCGACTTGTTCACCCCATAGCTGATTGTCCAGAGTAGGCACTGCAGATAGTCAAATACCATGAAGCGATGGCCTGCTTAAATGGCCCCCTTTGGCAACTAGGAGCTAGATACAGTACGTCGTGAAACCTGGTCTTGAAGGGTCGTTCGCCATTTGACATACTTGGGCATACGAACAGCCCATGATGCTTATAATGTAGCATCTCAGGAGTACCAGTTCCTGAGCTCCTGAAGCATCGATACTGATGATGCCGACGTGACTGTAACGGACAAAATGATATGAGATGCATCTTGCGCTGCAAGCTTTCAAACACCATGGATTAATGGCCTGCTTAAATGCTGCCCCTTCGCAACTGGGAGCAAAAGAACTGCGTAATATGCACGATATCTGTCTTGAAGGAGTCATTCGTTATCATGCAGTGTAATAATTATCACAAAATATAATCTCGAATTAAATTTCTAAATCCTTAATCGCATGATACAATCAATGGCGAAATCGAATGGAACAGTAGAGAGGATGCATTCCTAATGGACGCCCAAGGCAATGTCAAAAAATGTCCCTCACTTCACTGTAGAGTCAGGTTTTTACTCATGTCCTGGAATAGGACGCCTTACTGGGGGTAGGGGGGGGGGGTTCATTGGCTCAGCTAGTTTGTACTTAGTGCCACTCACATCTTGCACTTACCAGCACATAATCAATCTCACTTACCGCCCTACTGTCGTTCGAGTACAATGTTAATAGATATTTATGACGGTGCTGAAGCGGCGTGTTTGTCACAATCAGTCTGTTTCGTTTGGCGAAAAGAAGTAGCCCTTGGCGATTACTACAATATGTGCCAAACCCGTAGCAGCTGAGGGCCCCCTTGTCATCCCGAGAGCCTACCTTCCCATTTCATAGCCTGCCACAACGGTTAGGTGACGTTTGAGTAACTTATCAATAGTGGAGCGGCATAAAACTCATCT